TTAACAAAAGAAACAGTTAGACATAATTTGCACATCTTAAAGCAAATTACTATCTAATCGAATTGTTATATTACAAAATATTTGAAGTATGAGAGTACCCCAATTGTGTTTATCCTCCAAACATTCAAGTCACACTTAGATTCATTTTCACTGGCTGACTATTTTGTTCTACACTTTGCATTAATTTTATATTTTCCATCCCTTACTTTTCCTCTACTGTATACTCTCCTTGTTTATAGTTGATCCTTCACCCCATTTAACAGACACAATGCTATATTTAAAGACCATTGTAAAAAATGTATTTAAAAGTCTTTTGTAGAGTGTGTAACCAAAAACCAAGAAGTTTGTAGAATATCCTTCATTATTACCTCTTCATCAAAGCTGCCACCTTTAAACACACATATATAGGTTTCTATGCCTCCAAATAGTCCACAAAGTTGCTGTCCAAATAGTTTGCCACATTTCTCCACCTATTGCTGATCCGATGCTGGCTGGTATACAATTGAAATGATTCATTGGTAGTTGCAATAATCCCGTAGGACTACTTAACCATTCCAACCATTTCTTCCACATACCTTGCTGCAGGTACAAATTATGTGGTACCGATTCCAATGCTGATTTACAGAACGAGCACATCTTTTTTGTTGATTTTCCAGGCAAATATTTCTACATGATAAATTATCTATTGTTGGAATTCCCCATGAAACACTCTCCACACAAATAGCTGTACGTGCCTTTGGAAGAGCTTTTCTTGATTTTCCAGGCAAATATTTCTATATTTGTGTGTATGCATTGTATACATAAAATTTTTGGTAAAAAAAATCTAACCCTTACACTGTACATAAACTTTCTATATATATATATATATATATATATATATAGCTTTTGAAATTTAGGTTACAAGATTTTATGACAAATGAAACTAGTTTCAGTCACATTACATAATATCTTACGTACTTTATACACGTTCAAATCTAAAGTAACTTGAACATATCAGTATCCTAAGCCAATAGAAAGGTCAAACCTCAAAATTAAGCTTTCTCCATACAATCACAAGCAGATACCTAGGAACTTAGAGGATGGAGCAGGTATTTTGGAATGAATCATCAACTACATGAAGGTAGATGGGAGAAGGTGGTAGATAAGTGGGTATTGGACGTGGAAGAGAGTTATGAAAATGATGTAAAGGTGAGTTTTCCTTTGGCGTCATTTCTTCTTCTCCATCTTGGTCACCTTCCTCGGCTCCTTCTTCCACAATATCTTCAACACTTAACAGCGTAGCATAGCGGAACTTTTTTCTCATCTTATTGGTTAAGCACACAGCATCAATTCCAATTCCAACTACCACCACATGATCACTGCTTTCTCCTTCTAATGATAACGACAACACACCTGTATTTTGATACATATATATATAACATGAAAAGAAAAAAAAAAAGAGCACAGCACCGTGCACATAAAATTGCTACATATATATATACACTTTGGCCACGAAACAAGATTTACGTACACACTATTACTTATTAGCTTTGAATTGCAATTATAATAGGTATTTAGACTTGTCAGCTATTCAAATTCAAAATGGATTGAATGCAAATTATTGAACATGACAAATGCACCTCGACAAACAGCGGCAATTTTCAGAGCTTTGCTTCTGCATTTCTCACTCTTCACGTCAACCTTTATGACTATTCTCTGCATGGCAATATTTAAATATAGGTCGAATTATTCAAATAAATACCATAGCTTTTTTAATTTAACTATTTATATATATTAATAATTGCTAGGGATATGACCTTCATATTTGATGATATTAATGAAGCAGAAGGCTGATTTAGCTTTATGAATGTGTTGGAGAAGCTTGACTTGCTGTTGCTGGTGATCGATGAAATATGTTATTTTTATATGCCTTGTGTGGACAACGCAAGGGATTATATAGGAAAATGGTGAATGAAACCATGTAATGCACTAAAAGGTGAAAGAGACAGAAGATAATTTTTATGGAAAAAGGAGAAATAATTGATAAATAATTTTCTTTTGTACAACATATATTTAATAAAAGAAATAAACACATAACTTTATTATAAGTAATTATATATTTTAATATATTTAAAATATTTCTTCTACTCATAATTAGATTCATATAGATAAAAAAAATTACATGCGAATAGACATTCAATTTTTCTTAGAAATTAAAATATTATGAGTTTTTTAGATTAGTTAAAATTTGAATTTTGAATTTTTTTTTAAAAAATCGACACAATAAAGAAAGGAATTGAAATTTTTACTTCTTCGTATTAAAGTTGTTTGAATATTTTTTTTTGTCCTTTCAGCCATGAACTCAGGAATGTCATCCCTAAATGTAACGAGCATAAGGCTATGGAGGGGAACCATCCCTCAAAAGCCGGCCCAAGAGGTTGGAGAACCTCCCGCCTTATAAGGCCGGAGACCTCCCCGATGTGGGACTTGTTATATTACCACCCCCTTCGAAGGGTCCTCGATGGCTGCACTCCACGGTACTTCACTCGGCCCTTGCCGGTCAGAACCCTGATGTGGGACTTGTTATATTACCACCCCCTTCGAAGCGTCCTCGATGGCTGCACTCCACGGTACTTCACTCGGCCCTTGCCGGTCAGAACCCTCCGGTAGTCAGAACCCTCCGTGAGTAGCCCTTCTCGATTTAGAAGGCTCTCAATGAAAGCACCATTGTAATGGGCATAAGGCTAAGGAGGGGAACCATCCCTCAAAAGCCGGCCCAAGAGATTGGAGAACCTCCCGCCTTATAAGGCCTCCCTGGTAAGGAGACCTCCCCGATGTGGGACTTGTTACACTAAACATACCTTAGGAACCAATCTTATAGAAAATATAGTCATGAGAGTTGATATGCAGAACATATACATAAAGAGAAATGATCAATTATCCAAATATATCTAATTGATTATATATATATATATAAATAATAAAAATATTATGTAATATATACTAGTTTTCAAAATATATTACTGAACGCATAAATTGTTCAAATTTATAATAAGTAGTTAGTTTCGAATTCAAACTGTAAATATATAATTATGTTAAATATTTAGATAAATAGCTTTACAGTAATTCAAAGATAATTGTTTCGTTTAAATGATACATGTAGTACATAAAAAAGAAAAATCAAAATATAATAAATAAATAAAAGTGAAAGAAAAATGGGTGGTGCAAATAGACTTGTATACAATTCAATGTTGGCCATAGACTATATATGTTAATCTAATTTATCGCCTTCATATATGCATTATTGAAACACGTCCCTGACGATCAATTAGTCTTCGCGCATGATCTATTTTCCATAATTAATTTGGCAGTTTTTAGTCCTGTTATGACATATGATCAATCAAACAATCTATATCCACTACAACAAAATTTATTATTAATAATAATTATTTAATGACAATAATTTAATTACCATTATTTAATTATATAATAAAAATATTAATGGTTAATATATAATAGCAACTAAAAATATATTTATATTACACTAAAATTTACTATTAGCAACAATTATCTATTAGAAAAAACTTAAGTCGCACATCGATTAGAGATAAGATAATTAAATAGTATATAAGTAAGTAATAGTTATCATTTTATAAGTTGATTTTATAGGTTGAGTTAGACTCCTAATTCACTATTCTAAATTGATATCAAATCACCCACTATTACCAAGTTCAATAGTACTATAAAACACTTAGAGAGCAACACTTTCACCTTATAAATCTCACATCTCTTAAGAGACAAGACAATTAAAAAAATAAATTAAAAAATATAAATAGAAGAAGATCTTCATCTTACAAATCTCATATTAACTAGAGATAAAAAAATATATAAGTTATGAATTTATAAAAGGAAATTATAGGAATAAATTATTTAAAGTTTTACTAGCAAAAGATAAAAGTCGCTAAATAGATAGAAAGGAGACAATTAAAAAAAATAACTTTTAATAGTTTTTAAAAGGACTATTAGAATTACTACTAAAAAAAATAAATTTTTTCGACAATTTAGTAAGTTTTTACCAACATTTTATATAAATATTAGTAATAGTATTAGGACCCTGAATACACCAACCATTATTTAAATACTGATAAAAATAATAATGATTATTTATATGACGCTAAAAAATAAATTAATTACTGCAAAAAAAAAAAAAAAAAAATTGGTGTAGTGTATCTCATATACTTTTACGAGTCTATCTATATCCATATAACTTCCACTATAATTGCTACTAAGTATGTTTTTCTAAACTTTATTAAAAAGCTATTTACTAATTTATTTAATATCCTCTTATTGTTTTTTCACTTCTTTCATTTATATTATTATTAACTTTTTTTAAGAAAATAACTATATTAAAATTACAGTCATTCTTAATAAATCAGAAAACACACATACTTTATTACAAATATTAATATTATAAATAGAAGGAAAAAATGCATTACTGTAATACAAAATAATTACCATTTTAATTAATTTAGAATAATTTTCATTTTCATTCAGCCTTATTTTTGTGGTCCCAATATCGCCATTGTACTAGTTGCAATATTATCAATGATGATTAAGAAAAACACGAAGAGAAAGCGGACCCAACCATGCTTTATTCCAAACAGAAACTGACAAATACCCAATTCACATAAAATCCTCCCCACCACACTGAAAGATGAGAAGGAGGAATTAGAGTTCTAGCCAATAAAAAAAAGAATGAAGCTTTCAAAAGCATTATATTGAACTTTCCTCACCAGCATTAGATATTCATTATTCAACCCTCATATTAAAAGGTTAAGAATTAAAATATCTTTTAAAGTTATACATGATGCAAGATTTAATACCATAATTAATGTTCTTACTTTTTATGTTTTTATTACTTTTTTTATATTATTCTAATTTTGTCGCTTTAAGGGTAAATATGCAAAGTAATTAAAACTTAAACAAAATAGTGATATACAGTTGCCAAAATAGTAAATAGGACATAGTGTGTTATTTCTGATCTTCATTGGGGTCCCAAACGTTGTACTAATATTCTTGGATATCCAAAGCATTTGCTTCGTGGATGGTTTCATCACCCTATATGTATGATGGAAATTAAGATACAACCCTTCACCATCGAGAAGGCAACGACTCAGAGTCAGAGGATAGAACAAGTATTGGGGTGTGAATCATAATCTACGACATATGAAGGAAAAGGTGGTGGAGGATAGTTCGCATAATAATAACCTACTCCCATATTTTCCATTGAATTTGTTTCCTCTTTCTGTTCGCCTTCATCATCGCCACCATTGGAAGCGTTTGCATCTGTGACACTTAAAAGGGTAGCATAGCTGAACTTCTTCCTCAACTTATTAGTCAAGCAAACAGAATCGATTCCATCTCCTGTCACCACCACTTGATCTCTGCTTTCACCTCCTAATGACACCGAATGCACACCTGTGTTGTATGCAAATATATGTGTTTAGTTACAACCACTAATTTAGACTTGAAGTTAATATCTGAAGTGAAGTTACTAACTAATAATAAACGGAAACGTGACATGCACCTTGAACGATTGCAGCAATTTTCAGTGCCTTGCTTCTGCATTTATCACTCTGCATGTGCACCTGGATTACTATTTTCTGTGGAACCAAGGAAGAATTTTATTATTTATGGAACCAAATTGTATATAGTCTATGTAATGCAATTAATGATCAATACAAGTGAGCTCACCTTCATGTTTGATAATTTAAAACAGAACACGGATTTAATTAGCTTTATGCTGGGGGAGAAGCTTAATTAGCTAGTGAGACCTATGCCTTTTGTTATATGTCTTGGTTTAACGGGGTTGGGGTCAGAGACCGTTTATATATCCACATGAAAAAGTGACTTTTGCATAAAAATATTAATTAGTAATGTTTTTCTATCATTCTTTTAAATTCTACTAAGTAAGAAATGAAATCTTCTAAAAAGACAAGTATTTCATTTTCAGGCTTGACTATAACTAACTTTTTTGATATTATGAATAGCAAAAATTTTCTTATAAGTATTTAATGTAACTGTATATATAGAATTTAAATTACAAAAATCAATCATATTGAAAGTCATATTTAATATAATATGTTAGTTGGTAGTGTATATATTTTTATGTTAATAATGCCGGTATATTTTTCTGTATTATTTGTGTTGACTCAGAATAGACATGCGCGTTGATTTTATATTTGAGTTTGAAATCCTTCTTCCATTTTACACTTATAATGGGAAATTAGGTAATGTTAAAATATGTATGTGTTTGGTTGGAAAGTGAAAATAGTATTTAAAGTTACGGAAAGCGAATGACTGAAAATTAGATAGGTAAAACCGAAAAACGCGAGTGGACTGACCGGACGTCATGTGTTTCAAAGTTCTATTTTAAAGTATATAAGATATGTGTGAATCTTTTTTGTGGAGAAAAGCAAAATTCTAGTTGTTAAGTGGAATGTTCTTAATTATAAAAAAAACATGGTAGAGGACAATGATGTTTGTTAAGCTATTGTACAAGTTAAGGCTAGGTTTATTTCTAATTTTCTTTGGCTTTTTCTTCATTAGAAAGAAGTTGACACTTTTTTTAAAAAAAAAAATTAAGTATGAAAATGAAAAGAAAAGAAAAGAAAAGAAAGTTGTTTTCCCAAACAAAAAAAAAAGACAATTTGTTTTTTCTTTTAAAGGAATTTAGATCCCTTTAACATACAACCAAATTAAGTCCCGTAAAACTTCAGCTTTCGAAAGAAAACAAAATCAAGGAGAAAGAATGTAATCACCGATTTTGATTTTAGTTGGAGAGAAAAAAAAAACTTGTAATAGATGTAGAAGAGGATTCATTTTTAAAAACAGGTGCTTTTTCTTTTCTCTTTCTATGTTCAATTTTTTTTCTTCATTTTGTAATTATGTCTTATCATTCTCTTCCAACTCTAACCTTTAATTTTTTTTTCTCCCTCGTAACACTTTTATTCATAACTCTTGTTGTTTGATTGGTAGTTGCTACTAAAAATTATGAGATTGGGAGACCTTGAGAATAAGTTGATCTCTAGAAGGTTGGACCAGGAACAAGTGCAGTCAACTAAAAAGGTATATAAAGGAAATTTTTTAAAAGGAGACTCATAATTCATGTTTTTCAAGAAGAATCTTAAAGAGAAGTCATGGAATTCAAATCTTCTTTTTCTTCTTCTTATTCCTTCTAAAAAAACTTGGGAGTTGCTACGGTACCCTCAAAGATTGAGAGATTTTAATACATTTTTTTATGTAAACTTATAAAAGATTTAGAAAAATTAATTTAATTATAAAGTGAATAATACAAATTATACTTATAAAATAAAAAATAAGATAAAATTATAGATATTAAAAAAGAAAAAAATTAATAAATAGTAGAAATAAAAAATTATTAAAATTATAATATAAAAATTCAAAAATTTAAGATAAAAAGATAAAAAAATATACTTAAAAAATTATTAAAATTAAAATATAGAAATTCAAAAATTTTAAGTGAAAAGATAAAAATATACTTAAAAAATTATTAAAATTAAACTATTTAAATATATAATAATATTATTACAAATAAATTAGAATATATAAAATAAAAATAAAAT